TCATTCTGATACTGTGCTGGTTTCTATAACAAAGAGTTAGAAATCAACACAGTGTCAGAATGATAGCAAATGACATATAGTACTCCTGGAAATATTCTTGTTTTTAGGTCTTTCTCTGGGTTATTTTAGAACCGAGGGCTGGCCTCATTCCTACTGACCCAAGCCCACTACCCCCAAAAAACTCAAGATCCCAATGTTTATATCTGGGTAAATGCCTCTGCCCACCCTGGCACTATCTTTCCATCCTCTTGGGATTGTGTATTCCTGTGAGTCGAGAGGCTATGCTGATTGTAGCAGTGCTGATGGTAAGGCTTCCCATCTCAGATAGGCTTTTGATGGGGAGCCAGACTAAATGTTCCAAACAGCTACTAGGCAGCAGCAGTAGTGGAGGGGTGACACTGGTAGAGGTTCTCTCAAAGATAATAATAATAATAATAATAATAATAATAATAATAATAATAATAATAATAATACAATTACAGAAATAATAAGAAGAAAATAATCCCTGAACCCCACCCCACCCCTTTGACCCACCTTCCCTTCAATAACAGTGGCAATATCTAGGGGAGTTAGATCAAATGGACAGTTAGTTCAGATCAGGACAGAGGTCATGGGAAGGCCTGCCAGAAGAGAATCATTTTTATCACTTTTTTAAAAAGTCAAGGGATATAATCTGGAGAGTCTCTTCCGGCAGGTCATTCCAAATTTTAGGAGCAGCAGCTGAAATGGTCCTCTGGGAAGTCACCACCAGTCTAGTTTTCATTGACTTCCCAGAGTCTAGTTTTCCTCCCAGAGGACCTAACTCCTGTTCTTAAAATATATCATTAACCAGTATTAGGAATTATCTGTATGGAAGATCCTGAACCACACTGCTAGCTCTGCATTTTATTGTTAAGCACTGTATATTGGGAATGGACAGGCAGAGGTCTCATCATGTTTAAGGAGGGAGACCAATTGCTTCCACACTTTCCTTCCCCCGTTCCTTCCCTGACCCACTACTATCACCTCCTCTTCCTCTCCCTGCTAGCTTCTACACTACACTATTATTACACTATATTAAAGATATAGGAGCCCTCTCTAGTTTTCTCTCTGGCAACCTTACATGGCAGTTAAAATGGAATCACTGTTCTTGAACTGTGTAGTGTGAAAGGGCCCCAGGCTGTGGCCTTCTGGTGCACACTATAAAAGAATGTTAAGCTGTGCTCAGTTTTAATTTAAAACATTTCCCCAAGTGTGAAAGGAGCAGCAAGGTGAACCTATCAAAAGATGTGTTTGGAGTCACACAGCCAACAAAGTACTAGAACTACTCTTACATTTGGGGAGATACTTCATATTAAAACTGACCAAGGACCCTGGATCAGGACTCTATTCAAGGTCCAGTGTGGGTGGTACGACTGGTCAGGCTGCAGTTGTTTATTAGCATTTTGAGAGAAAACAGCCCCTACACATTCCCAAATGAACCAACTTCTTTGGGGTCATTTGCACTTACTTTTTTTAATGAAGAGATATCTAAAAGATCACTTTAAGAGGGAATCTCAGAGCTGCTTCCTAGCAAGAAGCATTCCCCTGCCATTGTTTAACTTATATCTTCTTCCTCTGCCTTCCTTTCTCCCTTTTTTGTTTCTTGTTCATACTGAAGAGTGTTATTGTTCTTATCTGTTAAACATTGAAGGCAAAGCTTTATCTCTGATCCAGCTGCCACCATGCCTTGTATCACTCATCCATCTTTCCTACCACAGGTGAGCTTCTGCTATTGAGCATTGTCACTGTTCATCTGCCTCCCATCTTTAAAGCCACATTTTCCTCTTCCCCTAAAACTGATCAGTTGCAAGAATAAACTAGACTTGACTTTCATACTATGATTAGCAATAATCTCAGTCATTTAAAAAAATAAATCACACTAGGTTGCGGAGGTATATTTTTTTATCTGGACTCCAGTATGAAGTGAGGGTGTGATTAAATCTTTCCCTACACACTATGGTGCTAATGAAAATTGTGAATTATACACTAGGTATTTCATTTGTTTTGGCTTTTTAGAAACCCAGACATGGTTGTTAATCATGCTATTAAAAGTAAAATTAATTTGACCATTTCATTAATCTTCATCACTGACCAAAACAGTGGAGAAATAAGGTCAGACCTGCACCCATTTTGTTCAATTACCTGCAAAATATTGTTTCAAAGTATCTCCAAACCTCAGTAATTTTCTACAAAATAACAATATGTGGTTCTGGAGAGTCCATTTGGTTTAGTAGTTTAAGTGTTGGAATAGGACTCTTTGAGACCAGGGTTTAAAGCCTTGCTCAGCTATCGAAACCCACTAGGTGACCTTGGAAGAGTCATTGGTTGACCAACCATGAAGTAATGAGACCAAGCACAAATAATTGTGTTAAACAAGGGCCACTTTATCAACCTAGATCCTATTTAAATGTTTAAAGGCCTGGGGATGAGCAAAGAAGGCAGGGATGTGGGTCCAGCTAAGGCCCAGATGTCAGCCTAACACACCTCCCCAGCGTTCCTTTGGGTGAAACACCAAAGAACGAGAGCAATCCAAAAGGATTGGTTGCTAACTTGGATGGTTACCTATGGAAGGCTAAACCTGTACGGCAGTGTCAACACTGCCCAGGGTATTTCACCTGGTGTGAGGGAGCAGGCCTTCCAGGAATGAGCCCAAAAGGGCATGCCCTTCACCTCATTGCTATGCACTTCTCTACAGATGGATAGAACATTATGTGGCAGGAAAGGGAGTGCGCTCCAATGGATGCCACCCCTCTTCTGGGGTATCACCCAGTGTGATCTGACCCCCTCACAACCCCCTAATGACACCACTTATAAAAGGCTCCCTCCCAAATCCTGTGACTTTATAAGAGAGAGAGAGACCCAAATCATCCCAAGGGCAGACTCCTTCACAAGCCCCCTCATCCTGTGCCTCTTGGAAGCAGTTCCAGAGCCCAACTCTCCATCACAATGGTGTGTCAAGGTTTACACCAATCTCATATCTTCTCTCCCCTGCTACCTGCCAGTGGAAGCCTATTTATTGACATCACCTCATGCCAGTTGTCAAAGTCCCAACAGCTACATTATGGGGTAGGCAAAAAAAAAAAAAAAGCAGGAAAAGGCAGGGAATCCTACCCAGCTCTGAAGAGGCCAATGATGCTTATACTGCACTGAGTGTGAATGGGTGAGTTGCTGCATCCAGGAGAAAGAAGGACACATGAGGGGCAGCTGGACTTTAGCCTCCTAATTCCTCCTCTATGCATGATGCCTCTTCCAGACACTTGCAAGACATTCTGGTCTCCTCCATGGAGGCCAAGAAATAGCTCCCTCGCCCACAGAGGCGACCGCCATTCAGCTTGGGAACTGAACTCTCTCAAGTCAAAGTCAGAGTCATATTCCCTCCGCTTTACAGGAAGGCAATGGCAAATGTCTTCTGAATAAAACCTGCCAAGAAAGCCTTATGATAGGGCTGTCATAAGATGGAGTTAACTTGAAGGTGCACACAACAACAAATATAGTTCTAACTATTTCCCAAAGCACAGCTGAGCTACTCTGTTGAATCAAAAACAGCAGGGTCTTGTGGTACTTTATTTTATTTTTTAAAAAACTATCTTATATTACTTAAAATAACACATAATTTCACATCTATTCCATACACTACCCTATCATACAATACATAAATACCTACATACATAAACAAAAACATCAAAAATAACACAATACAATAACCATGTAATACATCAAGATGCATTAATAACTTATCTTTGTACTTCTCATCTAGCCTTGTTGAATTGAGGTTTTTTATTTGAGTTCCATAATATAAGTTGTTGTTTTTATTGTTATTATCTCCTCTTTGCTTGTTGCTATTTCAATAATTTCCTCCTCTTTCTCTCTTCTTGATAAATAAATTATTTCATATTAATCAATTGATTGAATAGCCAGCAATGAAAATTTCCAGTACTTTCTTACTAAATCCCATTCTTCCCCAGTTTTTCTTTCTTTTTCAAACAGTGGGCCATAATGTCCATTTGCATCATATCTGCTAATTTTAACAGCTAGTGTTTATGGTGATATTTCTTCACTTTTCCATTCAAAGCATATAAGATCCTCGCTGCAGTCACCGTATGTGATATGAATTTCCAAGTTTTATTTTCAAATTCTTTTTTCAGACCTGACATTATATTCAATAAGAATAATTATGGGCTTCATGGGGAATCAAAAACAGCAGTGTCTGGTGGTACTTTAAAGGCAACTTCAACTTCCTTGAAGAGTCAAGACACATATGCTATCCCACACACAATTACCTGCCTTGACAAATTACCTTTTTGGACCCTAAGTCCAGAATCGCCCAGACTGCACAGCAAAAAGCAAACTCCCTCTGAATAAATCATGCTAAGAAAACCACATCATAGATCTGCCCTAGGGTCACCATATGTCAGAAACGACTTGAAGGCACATAACAATAATATCTGTTCAGTTGAAAATATTTGTCAAGCTCTACCAGCAAAACATGACTTCAGGTCCATCTTAAAGCCCCTTCACTGGCAAATCTCGAGAGCATCTAGCACAAAGGTGAGCATGCACAGAATGTTCAAAGGCTATTTCCAGTTCTGCCAAGACTGAACCTGCACAGACTACAGGTTGTGTACACCAAACCTTGTATTCAGTATCTCTTTGCACAGCATCCAAACACCATCCCCCAAGGTAGTTGTCAAGCCCTAGATGCTCTGCCATGACTATTTACTGGCTGAGGTGTTGAGTCAGTTCCTATTCTGGAAGAGAAATGAGGACACTGGAAATCTGGGAGATTCAACATATTTCTCTTGTCCTAGTTGCAGGAGTGTTGGTGGCACTGTTAACTTGATTTGCATCTCCTTTGAACCTGGAATTTGACAAAGGTCTTTGGTGGGAATAGCATGGAACATGGAGATTATGCTTCACTCTCTCTGCTACAGGAATGTAGCCTGTGTCTTGGCCGAACTCTATTACTCCAACATTGTGGGGGCCCTCTGGCATAGTGGTTTGATCGTTGGACTATGATTCTGGAGACTAGGGTTCGATTTCCAGCTTTGCCATAAAACCCACTGGGTGACCTTGAGCAAGTCACAGGGTCTCAGCCTCAGGGAAAGGCAACAGCATACAAAGTTTGGTTTGCAGAACGGCAAACCTCCTCTGAAAAAATCTTGCCAAGAAACTCCCAAGATAGGGTTTGCCTTAGATTCATCATAAGTTGGAGGCACACAACACACACACTGCATCAGCAAAAAGTAGGGTACACCACACTCATCCCCACATGCACATAAGCTTCTTCCTGGCAAAAGTCAGGCACTGCATCCCATCTTTGCTCCTCCTGGTCTTAACACTAGTGCCTGCCTGACCATCAAGCAAAGAGTGGATGTCATCTCAAACTGCAGATGATTGTTCATGTGGAAGAATCATTGCATCAGCCTCCTAGGTGTTTCTTTCTCCTGGAGGACAGAGCTGGGCATTTTACACAATCCCTAAGCCAGCCTGTTTAATTCAGGTGAGGTGGCAGACACTGGCTCATCACCAATAATGGTGGCAGCTGCCAGTGTGGAACCCTCTTCAGGTGGAATGGGGAAAGATATTCTCTTCTCTTTTACATCAGGTAGCAAAAACAGCTGTTACAACTACAATATATCATTATAATACCCTATCAAGTTTTGTTTCAAGCTTCAATTTTTGACTCTAAAAGCAGGCAAAAATGTTCCTTTCCTATAATAGGAACTCTGATTCCTAGTCAGCAAAACAGCATGATTCCACACTTCAAATGAAAGGGAGGCTACCGGTATATATAAGGAATATACCCATATCCAATATCATTCAAGATCAGCGCTTTGAATTTTCATTTCAAAACTACAATTCCTGAAATCTCAAGGCAGAATCAACAACTGAGTCAAGCTTCTAAGAGCTGTAGTTTTTAAAAAATCCAATCTTTTTCAAGCAAGGAATTTTAAAACAACAATTGTGTGTTTGAATGGACACCCATTCCTGACTTTTGGATGCATTGTGTGATAAGGAAAGATCAAACACAGAACCAATGGTGCAACACGCTGTCATGTGATAAAGCCTAAAGCCTTCTGCAAATTATGCATACCAAGATTAACATTCATTTCCAAATATGTATTTTTAACAATCCCAAATCAGGTGGGATTTTAAACAATTTTTCTAGGTTTTTATGAGAATTTTAGGATTTTTTTCTTTTTAATTCAGGTATTTTCTGGTAGTGGTCAGGAGAATAAACATTGCTAGGATGCTGGTGTGTGTAAATGTATTTGCAACACTGTATTGACTTCCACTTTTAAAAAAAAAGATCACTTCAACACACTTGCAGTGTCAGGGTTGTATATAATGGAGAAGTTTCCACTCATGAAACTTTTGAATGGGAGAACAGACACTCAGTAACAATTCTTTTTTAAAATGCCCTCATTCAAGATGTCAGCAGAACTCACACATTCCTCCCACGTAATCAGCATGTGCTTTATAGACTATAGCAAAGCCTTTGATTGCATATGTCATCAAAAGCTATGGAATGCTTTTAAAAACATGGAAATTCCATTACATTTGATAGCCCTGATGAGACGTCTGTACTTAAGGCAAGAGAATGGAATATGGAGAAACAGAATGGTTTTCATTTGGCAAAGGGGTCAAGCAAGGATCAGCATTTTGAATATCACTCTACTTGTTCAGGTTTTACACTGAAAATATCATACCAAGAGCAGGCTTAGACTGAGAAGGAGGAGGAGTGCAGATAGGAGGAAGGAACACTGACAATATGCGGACAACACCATACTACTATCATAAACCTGGAGCAATTATTAAAGAAAGCAAAGGAAGAAAGTGCAAGGGCAAGCTTACTGCTGAATGTAAAAAAACCAAAAATAATGACCATTGAGGATATATATAAATTCAACCTAGGTAATGAAGAAATTGAAACAGTTAAAGACTTCTCATACCTTGGGTCAAACATTGAACAGAACAGATATTGCAATCAACAATAAGAAGAAGGGTAGGACTGGAAAGGGCAGCTATGAAAAACTAGACAAGATCCTAAAGTGCAAAGATATACAACTGAACACTACAGTTAGAATCATCCAAGCCATTGTATTCCCCATCACCATGTATAGATGTAAGAGCTGGACAGTGAAGAAAGCAATATAAAAAGAAAATCAACTTATTTGATGTGGTACTGGAGAAGATTACTGAGGATACCATGGATGACCAAAAAGACAAACAAACAGATCATGCCTGAATTCTCCCTGGAAGCCAAAATGATGAAGCTGA